ATCCAATACCATGACCTAATTATCTCATAAAGGCTCTATCTCCAAATATCAGCACATTGGGAATTGGGGTTTCAATATATGAATTCGGGGGAGGGTAAATGAAAACATTCAATCCATAGCAGTGATCCTTTTAATAGGTAATTTGATCATATATTAACTCTGCACAAACATCTTCAGTTAGCTCCCCATTTTCTCCATAATAAAGCCAGTATTCTTACGATGTCATCCAAAGGCCTTCCAGGACCTCCATCTCCAATTATTCAATCACTCGTTCTCCCCACTCTAGACTCATTGGCCTCCTTGCTGTTAACGGAACATATGATCTGCTTCCACGTTAGGCCTTTGCACTGGCTACTCCCCATATATCTGTTTAAGTCTATCAAGCTCATCTCCTTCAAGGTTTGCTCAGGCCAGTTTCTTAATGGCCCTAACCATCCAATTTAAAACTGCAACCCACCTCATACCTTGCACTCCCAATCTTCCTTATACTTTTCTTTTTTTCATAGTATGTATGATCTACTAATTCACTATATATTTTTTAAATTGTCTGTCTTACCCCTTTAGAATGTAATCTTCACAAGGGTACAGGCCTTTATTTTGCACACTTATGTATTCCCAATGTCTGGAACAGAATCTGGCACATAATGGGTATTCAAATTATGTATTTTTAAGATAAATAAAATATCTGAAGCCAACAACTGTTAAGATATCAGTACATCCTCTTTCAGTTATGAATTTCTAAGTTAATATCTGGCAATTCAGTTTCACATTGGAGGACTGAAATTTGGCAGTATTGCCAAACTGAGATTTGATTTATTAACCCAATTTAAACAAAATATGTTTAGCTATTTGAAGTACTATAAGCACAATAAAATAAAAAGTCTTTAGATATATGACACTATTTTTATAATTGTATAAATCATTAAGGCCTTAGATACATTGGGGATATTTAACTTGTCATAGTTTATGGTTGTTCTGTATGTAATATTAAGTGCAAAAGATGTTGCTAGTTGCTAAATACATAATGCAGTATAATTTTGCTTCTGCTGAAAGGCAAATCAGAAATAATCAGCTCACTATAGTCGACAACTAAAAGGAGAAAAAAACTTTTGAAAAGTATACAGGCAAATTACTAAAATCTTTTAGAATACATTTTCTTTTCTTTTTCGGGAACTACTCTATGTCTTTGCAGTAATTTCTGCAGTCTTAAATATCCAGCATGGCTTAGAATTATATTATTTTGTTTTGAATTTCTCAGCTAGACTTATGGATAATCTTCCCTCTTCAAACAATTTACTATCCTGAACCAGATCAGACCTGGTTGTGATGTTAACTTAAGGGCCGGTGCCAAGGTAGGGGCCATCCACAGTTCCTGGAGGCTGATCCAATGCAAGAGTGGCTACTGATTACGCTGAGAAAGAGATTGATGGTCAGTATTTTTTCCTTGGTGTTATTTTATTATGAACATTTTTCCTTGTCAATCAATATATTGCTATCAAAGCATTTTTATTGCAGCACAGCATTCCTATCATGTAGTTTTGTGTGTGTGGGGGGGTACATAGTAGGTGTATATATTTATGGGGTACATGAGATGTTTTGATATAGGCATGCAATGTGTAATAATTCAGTCAGGATAAATGAGGTATCCATGCCCTCAAGCATTTATCCTTTGTGAAACAAACAATCCAGTTAGGCTTTTAGTTATTGTTAAATGTACAATTAATTCATTATTGACTATAGTCACCCTGTTGTGCTAGCCAATACTAGGTCTTATTCATTCACTCTAATATTTTGAACCCTCAATTGTTAGTACTGAGTAAATATCAATTATACGATCCAAAGGGTAGGTGTTAAGTCAGAACTATGCAGTAAGAGAAGATCAGGAACGAAGATAACATAAAAATCTCTGAAAACTAAGAGCAACATGTGTAACACAGCAGAGAATAATATTCTCCATAAATGATCCAAGATTTTTCCCAGGAAAAGCAAAGTGAGAGCCCACGTTCTCGGTGGGTTCCTCCGTTCTGTCACTGGGCAGTGAAGCATCATGAATAAGAAGCACGAAGTTGATGGGTCCTTCACACTCCTAGCTCTTGGGCAAAACAGATGTCTCAGTAACTATCCACGGAGACCCAGGGAGAGTGAGGAGAAGTATCAGAGCCTTTCAAGCAGCAGAGGTATGAGAGAGTAGTTATAAATATAATTCCTGTTTTTGAGAGATACAAGTTGTCAAGCCCATTTGGGATGTTAAACGATAAAGGTTCAGTATTACCCTTCTGTACTAAGCAAAGGGGAATAGTCAAAAGCATATTTACTGTTCTCATGAAATTTGTAGTTTAACCATGAAGATAAGAGATATCTCAGTGAAAAGTAAAGATCACTTGCTGATCAACTAAGTTTTCTCACCTTCTAGTTTTTGTCTTTATAGATACATCCTTTAAGAATACTTTCTCCAAAACTGTTTCCAGTCTCACTAACTTAGGAAATTTGCAGGACTCAATCCCAAGTACAAATCTCCAACATTACATAATCAGTTATACTGTATCCATTGTACTTGTGATTCCTGTAAAAATATATTTTTCCAATAAATATTTATTGCATATCTGCATGTACCAAGTGCTATTGTAGATATTAGAAAAAAGAAATACGGTGGCTCACGCCTGAAATCCCAGCACTTTGGGAGGCCGAGGCGGCGGATAATGAGGTCAACAGATCGAGACCATCCTGGTCAACATGGTGAAACCCCGTCTTTACCCCGTCTCTACTAAAAATACAAAAAATTAGCTGGGCACGGTGGCGTGTGCCTATAATCCCAGCTACTCAGGAGGCTGAGGCAGGAGAATTGCCTGAACCCAGGAGGCGGAGGTTGCGGTGAGCCGAGATCGCGCCATTGCACTCCAGCCTGGGTAACGAGCAAAAACTCCGTCTCAAAAAAAAAAAAAAAGAAAGAAAAAAAGAAAAAAGGAAGTAGATAAAACATTGCCACTGTCCTCATGGAACTTACATCTCAGTATTGAAAGTCTGCATATTCTCTCTTCCTACTAGGAGAAAACATTATTTTTAATCATTCCTTCACAGTGAGTTTCTTAGCCTTATTTCATCAGAGACTATTGAAAAGCACACACTCTTCCATCCCCCACCAGGACGAGAATCCTGGGAAAGGGATTGGGAAATCTATCTTTTTAAGAAACTCACTGGGGGTTTCATATGCATTCACAGATTCAATAATTCCGGGGGGAAACACTGCCCTATGAAGAACATACTGTCCAAGGAATTGGTAATATCCATTGTACTTCATCTGTAGGACCCCTTTTGATTGTCATTACTAATCTTTACCAAAAATCTCACCCTTGGAGAATGTGAAAGCTCTCTATGGTTTTCCACAGCCAATTCACCTAACAAAAAATAACAAGGCAAACTTGTTCAAGAATACCATTATTTTTAAATAAAATGCCTCTACATGGCAGATGTTACTATGTTCTGCTTTGGGAATGAAAATAACCAAACGTCAATTACTAGTTATGGTCCATAGGACCACAAGATTTATTTCAAAGATAAAGTTCAGATGATGAACATAAAGAAAATTGTCTCATCAAAGAAGGTAAGACTGAGTGAATCCACCATGTACAATATTGCAAAACGCTCACTAAAGTTGTTTTTTGTGAGTTCATGACAGTATAGTCAATATTCAGTATGTAATCCTAGCAAGTATAAAGTTAATATTATCTGAATATGTACAACACACTATTCTAAGTAACATGCAGATATTAAAATGACTTAATTCTCAAAACATGAAGTGAGTTTTTGTTTTTATGACCATTTTACAGATGAGAAAACTGAGGCATAGAGAAAGTAAATAAGCCACTTAAGGTAACATAGCTGGTAGATTGCAACCAGGGGTTGCAATCTATGGTGCCAAAAATCTATGCTCTTAATCACTGAACTGCCCTGTCTTAGTTTTTATGCTTCTTTAGGAGCCTCAGACCAAAAGAAGTTTAGTTAATTCTAATAGAACAAGCAAGAATTTGTTGATTACAGCTTCCCCGCCCCAATCCTTTAAGTGGCGTCATTGTCATCAATTTATTTTAAAAATGAAGGTAACAATGCTATTGAATAGGATTGCCTAGTGGTTAGCGGTCCAACAAAAGAGTGACTTGCTTCTGAAGCTCAGCTCTGCCCTGCCATTCACTTGCTGTATGACCTTGAGAAAGTTACCTCTCCAAGTCTGTTTCTTCATCTTTAAAATAGAGATTATAATAGGACCTACATCATACTATTGTTTAAAGATTAAAAAAAAAAGGTAGCCCATTTACAGCACTTACAAAGTGCCCCATAAATATTATTAGTGTAATAAACAGCAGTAACATCAATAAACTATGAACCAAATGATCTCTTGATTCGTATACTAACACTAAAAATGGTTTATTTCCCTTCTAATTAAAAGAAACTTACAACAACCAAAACAAGAAACCAAACCATAGCCATAAAACCAATTATATCTTCTGTGAGAACACTGGAGGTACTACTGGATACATTAATTCATTTATCATCAGTCATCTCCTCAATTCCAAAATATTTGTGTTCTAGCATCCTAAGACACCTTGCATAATATAATCACTGTGAGACTCTAAGAGGTCAAATGGGCAGGCAGTTAATGCTTCTCTGTGAAAAGCTCAATAATTCATTTTATAAATTTCCGTTTAAAGCCTACCTTGAGGTTAAGAAAAATTGACGTTCGGTCTATGAACTTAATGTCAAGCTCCAGAAAAACTCTGGGCAGCACATGTTTGGTGGACACAGACAATAAAGACGTTGCCAAATTGTAAAACAAGACTTGGAAATCACAGAAAATGTTGCTAGTTATTGATTGCTGTGACCATTCAGTTCCTACTGAGCCACCCAAAAGAATCATTCATTTTCCAGCAGAGAGCCTGCTCATTTGCAAGATAAAAGAGAGACATTTCTGCACATGCCCATAATGTTCTTCACCACTGGGGGCAGCTTTACATAAGACTGCATTCACTGAAACCAAAGCAACAGTCCGAGCAGCTTTCAGAATGACAGTCTGCAGAAGTGAGCTGAGCGTGTGCGCGGTACGGGGCTCTCCTGCCTTCTGGGCTCCAACGCAGCTCTGTGGCTGAACTGGGTGCTCACCACGGGAACTGCTGGGCGATGGAATACAGATGTGGCAGCTCAGGTAGCCCCACATTGCCTGGAGGAATATATCATGTTTTTCGTTAAGAAGAAATTGTAGGAGCCAGTTTTTTTTTAACCGCCCCCCGCCACCCCCAAAAAACTGTAAAGATGCAAAAACGTAATATCCATGAAGATCCTATTACCTAGGAAGATTTTGATGTTTTGCTGTGAATGCGGTGTTGGGATTTATTTGTTCTTGGAGTGTTCTGCGTGGCTGGCAAAGAATAATGTTCCAAAATCGGTCCATCTCCCGAGGGGTCCAATTTTTCTTCCTGGGTGTCAGCGAGCCCTGACTCACTACAGTGCAGCTGACAGGGGCTGTCATGCAAGTGGCCCCTAAGCCAAAGCAAAAGACCTAAGGACGACCTTTGAACAATACAAAGGATGGGTATGTTTTGTCATTTTTCTTCTTTCCTTCTTAAAAACAAAAAACAAAAAACCTCTAGTCTGTTTAATAAATCTGCCTTAATTATGTTAGAGATTACCTTGCTCTGCTCTAAGACTATGAATTTATTTGCTTAGTGGACACGTTTCCGTGTTTAACTATTTAAAAAAAAAAACAAAGCACTAAAGACAGTTCTCTTTAATTACAAAGAGATTATATGTGATGTTAAACATTATCTAGATTTAAATTTTAAAAAATGAAAAATACATGCCTATTTTTGCTTGATTAAAGATTAATTCTTTTTTGGGGGGATAACTTTTCTAAGTTGTTTTTATTTCCAGGTTTCAATGTAATTAGGCTACTGAGCGGATCAGCTGTAGCACTGGTTATAGCCCCCACTGTCTTACTGACAATGCTTTCTTCTGCCGAACGAGGATGCCCTAAGGGCTGTAGGTGTGAAGGCAAAATGGTATATTGTGAATCTCAGAAATTACAGGAGATACCCTCAAGTATATCTGCTGGTTGCTTAGGTCTGTCCCTTCGCTATAACAGCCTTCAAAAACTTAAGTATAATCAATTTAAAGGGCTCAACCAGCTCACCTGGCTATACCTTGACCATAACCATATCAGCAATATTGACGAAAATGCTTTTAATGGAATACGCAGACTCAAAGAGCTGATTCTTAGTTCCAATAGAATCTCCTATTTTCTTAACAATACCTTCAGACCGGTGACAAATTTACGGAACTTGGATCTGTCCTATAATCAGCTGCATTCTCTGGGATCTGAACAGTTTCGGGGCTTGAGGAAGCTGCTGAGTTTACATTTACGGTCTAACTCCCTGAGAACCATCCCTGTGCGAATATTCCAAGACTGCCGCAACCTGGAACTTTTGGACCTGGGATATAACCGGATCCGAAGTTTAGCCAGGAATGTCTTTGCTGGCATGATCAGACTCAAAGAACTTCACCTGGAGCACAATCAATTTTCCAAGCTCAACCTGGCCCTTTTTCCAAGGTTGGTGAGCCTTCAGAACCTTTACTTGCAGTGGAATAAAATCAGTGTCATAGGACAGACCATGTCCTGGACCTGGAGCTCATTACAAAGGCTTGATTTATCAGGCAATGAGATCGAAGCTTTCAGTGGACCCAGTGTTTTCCAATGTGTCCCGAATCTGCAGCGCCTCAACCTGGATTCCAACAAGCTCACATTTATTGGTCAAGAGATTTTGGATTCTTGGATATCCCTCAATGACATCAGTCTTGCTGGGAATATATGGGAATGCAGCCGAAACATTTGCTCCCTTGTAAACTGGCTGAAAAGTTTTAAAGGTCTAAGGGAGAATACAATTATCTGTGCCAGTCCCAAAGAGCTGCAAGGAGTAAATGTGATCGATGCAGTGAAGAACTACAGCATCTGTGGCAAAAGTACTACAGAGAGGTTTGATCTGGCCAGGGCTCTCCCAAAGCCAACGTTTAAGCCTAAGCTCCCCAGGCCGAAGCATGAGAGCAAACCCCCTTTGCCCCCGACGGTGGGAGCCACAGAGCCCGGCCCAGAGACCGATGCTGACGCCGAGCACATCTCTTTCCATAAAATCATCGCGGGGAGCGTGGCGCTTTTCCTGTCCGTGCTTGTCATCCTGCTGGTTATCTACGTGTCATGGAAGCGGTACCCTGCGAGCATGAAGCAGCTGCAGCAGCGCTCCCTCATGCGAAGGCACAGGAAAAAGAAAAGACAGTCCCTAAAGCAAATGACTCCCAGCACCCAGGAATTTTACGTAGATTACAAACCCACCAACACGGAGACCAGCGAGATGCTGCTGAATGGGACGGGACCCTGCACCTATAGCAAATCAGGCTCCAGGGAGTGTGAGGTATGAACCATTGTGATAAAAAGCGCTCTTAAACGCTGAGAAATAAGTGGTGCTTTATTGAACTCTGGTGACTATAAAGGGAACGCGATGCCCCCCTCCCCTTCCCTCTCACTTTGCTGGCAAGGTCCTTCTCTGTCCGTTTTAGTGCATTCATAATACTGGTCATTTTCTTCTCATACATAATCAACCCATTGAAATTTAAATACCACAGTCAATGTGAAGCTTGAACTCTGGTTTAATATAATGCCTATTGTATAAGACCCTTTACTGATTCCATTAATGTCCTATTTGTTTTAAGATAAAACTTCTTTCATAAGTAATCCCCCACATCTGCTGTTCCACTCCTGGTGGGACCAAATCTACAGTTATAGGAGGTTTGCAGCTCACTGGCAAATCAAAAAAAGAGGTGAATGATCCCAGGTGCTCAGAGCTTTAGCTGAATCTTGGAGATGACTCAGTTATGCGAACATTTTAAAGACAGGCAGAGCCTTTACACCAATGCCTGACTTAAAAAAGAAAACTGCAAGAAACTATCAAAAGATGGTGCTACGTTAAAGCAGCACCCTGAGCAGTTTCCAGGGGTGTCTGAATTACAGTAAGGCAAGCACAGGGACAAAGTGATGAAGGGTTAAAATACTGCAAGTAGACAACTGCAGAGTGTGAGATGATAAAACTGTAAAGTTTTCGACTCCAAGCTTTGTCTCTGAAACCCATCCTTGTAAAATCAGACTCAAGGTTTCACTGTCAATTTCTTCTAGCCTGTATGTTTCATAAATAAATAAATGAAATAACATTTAGAAGCCAGATTTCTCACCACTCCTCACGTTAGAGAGTTTTTAGATAAGGTTTATGAATGGGAAAGCAGCTTTCTACAGGCATGTGGTTGAGAGCTTACCAGAAATTCTCTTTCCAGTTTCTTCAAAGATCCTAATGTAGTTAGCAAAATCATGAGCCCGGTCCTGTTCTGTTTAGGATTTGTCAGGCTGCCCTGTTGTGGTCCATTACATGTCCTGCACACACCAATCCCCTAATGACAGACATTTCATTCAGATGTGTAAAGAGAACTGATTCCAAGACATGCTTTCCACCCACGGCCTCACTGGAAAGGATGACTTTGATAACACCTTAATAAATGTATAAAATAAATCTTAGAGGAAAAAAGACCAATACTATGACAGTTCCCTGTTGCTTTTCTATTGCTGACATTACAGTGTCCCTGTGTTCATCTGTATTGTGAACTCATCCATCAGTACAATTCTGCACAGATCCTGTTGGCAGTCTGCAAACTGCATGCACGTTTTTGTCATTGGTGAAAGTTTATTGACTGCAGCACGAATATCCTAGCCTCTGTATTTGAGTAACTTGAACCACAGTCCATTAAGGTTTTAGAAAGATATTTTTAGTTTGTATTCTCTTTCAGCCTCCAAAATGAACAGTTCTATTATAGAAGCAAATACCAGGAATTGCAACATTGAGGCTGTTCATTTAATTTGGCTTGCCTACATCTTTAACCATGTCCCTGTTCTCTCAAAACAGAATCACTGCAGCAAAGAAGAATAAGTGAACAGCTATTTTTACTAATTTTCTTTATTGTTTGGAGGTTTTTCATATGCTGAAAGGAAAAATCTAGGCAAGTCATCATGAAATAAAATTTTAAGGATGCCAAATTACTAAAATCACACTTTTATAAGCAAAAAGAAAAATAAACATTTAAAGTAGATTTCTCAAGGTACTTTGATATTGATTAAATCTTACAATAGATGCCACTTCAGAAAAACATTGTAGCTACGGTGTTTACCCATGAATAATTGTTGAATATACATTTATTAATGACAAAAAGTCACATATTTTCAATTAATTAATAATGCAGATACTTCCTTACAGCTTATTGAATCACTGAGCTTACTGTGATGTTTTTTACTGAAGTCGTAATTTTACATTTTTTCATAAACTATCAGTAAATACATATTCCATCTTAAAAAGAAATTTTCTTGGCTAGCCTCATTTTTATCTGTACTAAAGATGTTTGTATTAATGAAATGCAGTCTTAAAGTGAAAAAGCCCATTTCTATTCTTTGACTGAACCTTCTGCCTTACCTGTGATGGATACCAATTATATTCAGGCACGATATACTTATATTTTTAAATTATTGCAAATTCTCAATGCTGTGGTACTAGTAGTATATATAAAATATGGTTACTATATTGAAAAGTATTTCTAAAATTCAAAGCTACTTGACATATAAAATATGACATAAGACTAAATGAATGACCAATATTTTGAAAGCTGGTCACTTTTTAATGACTAACTTTACTTATTCACATAGTAATAGATAAGAACCAAAATAAAATCCCTTAGGTGGTAAAACTCATTTTGATTTGGGACAGGAAATTATGGGGAAAAAGTTCTTTCTTCCTCCTTACTCTTTGAAAATGAAGCTTCTCTAGTTCTCAGTATCTTCTGAGCATACATATATAATTCTTATAGATTACACAATAACTAGTTTACCACTGTAAATTTTAAAAAGCCAACTGGCAAACAGTCTCCTGCTCAAAAGTTGTTGCCTCATCTCCATCCCATGGAACTTTCTGGACTACATACCATAAATCTATTTGTATTAATATTTTAAGCTCTTGCATATTAGAGAAATGTGATCTATATTTATTTTTCTAGTGCATATTTACATTAAAATATTGGACTTCCCTCAAAGGTGACGACAGTTTCAAAAAAAAAAAAAAAAAAACCCAGCCTGACCTGTTGAACTATACAACAGAACACAGAATACTTTGCTTTACCAAAACAGAGAAGAAATGGAATTTAGTCTAGAAACTGCATGTGGGTTTTTTCCATTTTTATTAACCTTAGTACACATAGTGCTACCACAACATGAATAATCCCAGAGCCACAGTCTTGTAAGCAATGCTTATGTAAGATGTACTCCATTTAAATGAGTTTGTATTTTCTAAGGATGTTGACATTACATCTTTTCAAAGAATTTAAACCATTTTTTACTTGATTTGGTGAGTGAACTACCTAAGTAGGCAGGCAATAAATTGTCTATCTATGTAGCAGCAGTGACCTCCAGTGGCTGGATAGACTAATCACAGCTATTCAAACACGTTTTAGCTTTTTATCCTGAATCCTTATGTAAACGTGGTTTACAACATATATTTTTTTGACTAGTATATTAGATTCGAATTTTATTTAGTTTGTTTCCCTGGGAAATATAATTATAATATAATTTTTGAACGTTATACTTTTCATGTTGACTTTTTTTTAGTAATGCTGGAACAGAGGCGATAGAACTGGTACTGAAGGCTAGAAATAAGCATCCAAAGATGCAAAGCGAGTAATTATGCAATAAGAATAGATAAGAAATATTTTAAAGTGCATATACTGATCGATGCTGGCTAAACATTTTGATATTTTTATTAAGTGGGTTAATATTTTTCATCAGCAAATACTAACGTGTAATTTAGGTAGGAAAAACAAATTTTAATATTAAGTCAAAAGAGTAAGCAACAGTTATTTACTGGTCAGTAGATATGTCAAAGGTGTCAAGAGAGTGGGGGCCTCCCCTTCTGGCTTTAGAACTCTCCAGTTTGCTGATTGTGCAAGTGACCTGTGCTTTGCCCCAGTGCTTTCTCCCTCCCTCCCTCCCTCCCTCCCTCCCCCTTTTCAGCCAGCTGAACACTGGTTCTATTAGGCTCTCTGACAATGATGTTACAGTCTAAGAGGTGATGATTCATGGATAATGAAATTATGCTCTCCTTCTGGGGAAGGATAATGCAGAGTCAGATTCATGGATTTGGCAAGAGGTTTTTCGATGCTGTAGATGCATGAAATATCTTTTCTTCCCTTGACATTTACCAAAATGAGAACTCAAATAGTTTATTTAAAGTGTGGATTAGACTGCATCAGAAATCAGCATCAGGTCATGAAGCCTAAGACAAAGTGAGCTCCAGACATGGCAAATAAGAATCGAGCCATGAGAAATAAAAAATTCAGAAACTGTGTTGCTTCATCTATTCCTTTTTGCTCTGGATTCTCATTAGAATCTATCTAGATCTATAGCAAACCCATGGGGTTTTGCTATCCCTGTATTCTCCTAGCTACCTACACTAAAAATCAGAGGCAGTTGGGAGAAACAATGAGCACAAAAGAATATCTAGGTAAATTTGAATGACATAAGTTGTAAGAGAAATAAAATGGATAGATGTTAAATACCTTGTATCAAATAGCTCTAATAGAAAACTAAAGAAATAATAACACACAGGTGAAATTGACTACTTTTCTAATAATAACAGCCTAGAGAACTGGACCCAAATTCTTTTAGCCTCCAAAAATTGGTGATGATTTTGAATAGTTGGGTAGAATATAATAAAAAAGTACAGAGAATATCTAAATAAAAATAATTTGATTCTTTTTCACTTGTAGAAAATATCACAACCATGCATGGTAGAATATGGGCCTTAGAAATTAAGAACTAAGTTCAAGTTACTCTGACACTTGCTAATCAAGTCACCTCAGGTAAATTTCCTGGCTTTTCTGAAATTGAAGTTTCTGTTATGTAAAATAGATGTGTACTATTGACGGCTCATGGTTATTGGGAGGATGAAATGTAAAAAGTGCTTTGTAAACTCTAAAATGGCAACTGCCTCTTTGTTTCAAAAAGCACCTAATGAGATAGTTAATAGGTTTTATTGTTCTGTGTTTGGCATGACGTGAAAAGAAATCAGTAACCTCTACAATACAGAAACCCAAGCCCATTTGACATCATTGTAAGTCTAGAACTTTGTCTTTGACCTTCTGTTTTCACATCAACACAGCTTCTTCCACCCAATGTTATCTAAGTCTCTGATGTTTACAATGACTATCACAATGTACAACAGATATAAAGACACCGACCAGGGAACACTAAAAGAAATATCTATCAAACTCATTGAAAATTCTAGTGTATTTCAAATCAGGTCATTAGAGCAAAGGTTTTCAATCAGGA